GGGACAACTTATTCGTCACTTCGAGTTTCAAGGTAATGAGTGAGATCTCATTACCTATAGCAGCAACGCACAACGTTTGTGTGTTGGGAGCAACCTTCATCAAGAGGCCTACAAATTCTCTTGACGTTGCTGGACCAGTAGTGTGCTCCGCACCTACTGATCCTGTCCGTTTTTTTTTACGGTCCATCCCGTTGTTGCGTCTTTGCACCAACAGCGGACCCTCTTCCCTGCCCCTTTCTCATGGGTGGACGGTCACTACGCCCAGTGTTGCGAGACACTGGACGAGGGGCACTACACTCGTAAGCGTAGTATCCTGTCTTTTGACATCTGTTGCATTTCTGCAACCTTTTGTAGCCTGTAGAGCGAGCCTTCTCGCTCTCTACAAAACAGAGTTCCATCGGCTCTGGACCTCCGTTGTCATATCGTCTCGGTTGACGATATGATGTCGAGCTGGCGCGAGCCTGTCTCAGGCTGAAGTCTTCCTGTTCCGCAATGAAAATGGCTTGTTCTAGTGAATTTAGTTCAAGTCGGAACAGGTGAGTCTTGACGGGATCATCCGCAAGACCCTGCATGAACACCGAAACCAACGTGTGTTCATCCACCAGATTGGAACTTATACAACTCGTGAGATGTCGTATATGTTGCGCGTAAGCGTGCACATCACGCTTACCCTGCTTGAGCTTCAAGAGTTCAGTTCGAGCTCTGAACTCAGCTCTAGGTGGTTTAAACGTTTGGCTGAGCCGCGACTTGAAGACTTCCAACGACCTAAACGCATATGGGTCGTGCAGCTTGAGCCCCAAAGCCCAAGTCTTGGCACTTCCTGCCAGATTTGACTGGGCAAATGCACTTGCATATCCCCGTCGTCGATGCGACGCTCCCTTATGGCGTCATCCAATTCGACGAACCATCTCAAGAGGGAGTCTTCTTCGACCCCCCTATACTTGGAGATGTCAATCTTCAAGGTCTCGGGTCGACGCGAGTGCATCGACCCACCAGCAGCAGCCTGCTGCTGTCTCAACAACTCTGCTTGTTGAGAACCTTGTTGGTGAATCAGGGCTACTTTCTCGTGTTCTGCGTCAAGTTCATTTTGAATGAACTTGGCGATAGTAGCATGTTGGGCATCTCTATTGAGAGCCTCTAGCATGACGCTAACAGCATAGACGCCCATGGTCGGACCCATTCGTTCAACCGCATCCCATTCGACATCGCTCAAATGGGAGTAGCCGTCACGCGTAGCGTGAAAGCTTTGGTCATCTTCATCATCCAACATATTAAGGTTGGATGTGAACGCGGTCCTTGGACGGACTACGAAGTGCTACCAGGTGTAACGGAGCACCCTGAAGCTTGTACTGGTGACAGTACAAGCTACTTATTTTGACGACAGAATAAGGCGGTGCCTCGTAACTTCACGTACACTCGTACGTGCAGAGGAAGACGGTAAGAAGAAGCGAGTACTTGGTTAAAGTATAAAGTAGAACTGTGTTTAGTATAGTTAATGTCTGCAATAAATCACTATTTATCTTCATCTAACTATGTCTAAATACAAATGTGTAAATCAATTATCTGCTCACCACTCATTGCGTGCGTCTGTCGTGGCGCGTCTTCGTTGGTTGATATAATGGCCTATATCTACCAATTAGGAACTACTCGTAAGTGCTACAGAATATTTATCCTTATGACAATATTCTGAGAATATCACTCTTGTAGTTATATTCTATTAACAATTTCTTATAAATTGTTATGTAACGATTCACCCCGTTACAGTTTTGACTCGTCCTTCATGTGTCTTGTCATTCACTCCAGCCTCGTGCTCGAATGCCACGGCACGGTGGAGCTTAAGCGTGTAGCAAAGACCCGTGCGAGCCCGTGCATCCGCACCAGCTGCTTCTCTCATACGACGTGCATATCTTCTTTCAGTTTTACAGCTAAATATCCATCGTGTCTGCTCTGCATCGTCTCACTCAGTGCTCGTCTTGGAGGGCATGACCGACCGTGGTCTATTGTCTTCAGGTGCTGGTGTTTTATCTCTGTTTACTACATGTCCCTGGAACACAGGAAGACACGTGTTTTACACTAGTGCGTGTCGCTGGGACGCACACGTTGACGCGGTCGCTTTATCTTGGAGAATGTTGCTGAGTCTGCAGACCCGATATTACTCATTACGGGTTCCCGGAAGCGTGGAAAAATGGCCGATCTCGCTTTTAGCTGCTCGAGAGCGAACATCAGCGACAAACTGATCTGGAAGTACTGCCTGCCGTCGTGCTAAAGATTGAACAGAGGAGACGTGATACCGGCGTGACGATAGACCATGTTGGATCACACTGATAACTGATTCCGGGTGTACAAGGTGCGGGTAAATTGCAGACACTATCGGCTCTGTAGCGTGAGCTTGTCCACGAGAGGATTGCCGCTTGGAGGATCGACGTTGTGTCGTTGCTCATGACGGCTGAAGGTACGGCATTATCAACAGCTTATGAGTACTTGGTTCACGAACTGGGGTAGCGTTTTGCACAATTACGATCTCTAGCTGACGTCGAGATTGGACACGGGTGATCATTTTGTTTTGGCTTTGTGCTAGTTGATGACTTGGGCATGCTCCTTCAATCGGCGAGACGGCCATCTATATTAATTATCGAACTCAATCTGTGCTCCCCGCGTGTAGTTGTTGTTGGAACGACTGCGATGACTGATGTGAACATACTACCTGCGGCAAAGCGTGCTGCGAGTTGTGCAAAGTTGTGGACAGTATGTCGTCCCAACTGCGTGAGCTTGCCGTGACATTGTGTAACGGGATCTGTTCAGGCTGCCACTTCAAAGAGGAACAGAAAGTGAAGGCCATGATCATGCACAGAGTGTAACGGGGTGAACCGTTACATAACAATTTATAAGAAATTGTTAATAGAAAATAACTACAAGAGTTATATTCTCAGAATATTGTCATAAGGATAAATATTCTGCAGCACTTACGAGTAGTTCCTAATTGGTAGATATAGGCCGTTATATCAACCAACGAAGACGCGCCACGACAGACGCACGCAATGAGTGGTGAGCAGATAATTGATTTACACATTTGTATTTAGACATAGTTAGATGAGGATAAACAGTGGTTTATTAACAGACATGAACTATGCTAAACACAGTTCTACTTTTTACTCTAACCAAGTACTCGCTTCTTCTTACCGTCTTCCTCTGCACGTACGAGTGTACGTGAAGTTACGAGGCACCGCCTTATTCTGTCGTCAAAATAAGTAGCTTGTACTGTCACCAGTACAAGCTTCAGGGTGCTCCGTTACACCTGGTAGCACTTCGTAGTCCGTCCAAGGACCGCGTTCACATCCAACCTTAATATGTTGGATGATGAAGATGACCAAAGCTTTCACGCTACGCGTGACGGCTACTCCCATTTGAGCGATGTCGAATGGGATGCGGTTGAACGAATGGGTCCGACCATGGGCGTCTATGCTGTTAGCGTCATGCTAGAGGCTCTCAATAGAGATGCCCAACATGCTACTATCGCCAAGTTCATTTAAAATGAACTTGACGCAGAACACGAGAAAGTAGCCCTGATTCACCAACAAGGTTCTCAACAAGCAGAGTTGTTGAGACAGCAGCAGGCTGCTGCTGGTGGGTCGATGCACTCGCGTCGACCCGAGACCTTGAAGATTGACATCTCCAAGTATAGGGGGTCGAAGAAGACTCCCTCTTGAGATGGTTCGTCGAATTGGATGACGCCATAAGGGAGCGTCGCATCGACGACGGGGATATGCAAGTGCATTTGCCCAGTCAAATCTGGCAGGACGTGCCAAGACTTGGGCTTTGGGGATCAAGTTGCACGACCCATATGCGTTTGGGTCGTTGGAAGTCTTCAAGTCGCGGCTCAGCCAAACGTTTAAACCACCTAGAGCTGAGTTCAGAGCTCGAACTGAACTCTTGAAGCTCAAGCAGGGTAAGCGTGATGTGCACGCTTACGCGCAACATATACGACATCTCACGAGTTGTATAAGTTCCAATCTGGTGGATGAACACACGTTGGTTTCGGTGTTCATGCAGGGTCTTGCGGATGATCCCGTCAAGACTCACCTGTTCCGACTTGAACTAAATTCACTAGAACAAGCCATTTTCATTGCGGAACAGGAAGACTTCAGTCTGAGACAGGCTCGCGCCAGCTCGACATCATATCGTCAACCGAGACGATATGACAACGGAGGTCCAGAGCCGATGGAACTCTGTTTTGTAGAGAGCGAGAAGGCTCGCTCTACAGGCTACAAAAGGTTGCAGAAATGCAACAGATGTCAAAAGACAGGATACTACGCTTACGAGTGTAGTGCCCCTCGTCCAGTGTCTCGCAACACTGGGCGTAGTGACCGTCCACCCATGAGAAAGGGGCAGGGAAGAGGGTCCGCTGTTGGTGCAAAGACGCAACAACGGGATGGACCGTAAAAAAACGGACAGGATCAGTAGGTGCGGAGCACACTACTGGTCCAGCAACGTCAAGAGAATTTGTAGGCCTCTTGATGAAGGTTGCTCCCAACACACAAACGTTGTGCGTTGCTGCTATAGGTAATGAGATCTCACTCATTACCTTGAAACTCGAAGTGACGAATAAGTTGTCCCTTCGAGCTCTAGTCGATTGTGGGGCGTCCAACAATTTTGTGCGACGCCAATCGCTAGAAGATGGTCACTTCAAGTTCAGTGAATGTGACACACCTCCTACGAGGATGACGGTACGTCTTGCGACAGGCGCATCCGTAACCGTCATGAAGCGTATAGTGAAGATCCACTATACGCTAGAAGATACCCAATATGACGATGACTTTATCGTATTGGATTTGGATGACAAATTTGATTTCATCCTTCGGATACCGTAGCTCAGAAGGTACGAACCACGAGTAAACTGGCAACATCGAACAGTAACGATGCCTGCCGCTTGTTCATCAGATGGCCATCTGATGAACGTTTTGGAGCGTTCACAAGCGTGTGGATGTACTACGAGCGAGTGCGATGGCCTCACTTGTGGTACGGTCGTTAGTACGACTGCACAAAACCTTAGTGTACCAAACGGTTACACTTCGGAGCAAAGTTCCGGCGGCTGTGAGGAAACACAGGCTGCGCCGAAGGTCCACCACTCGAATAAGTCGAGTGGACCGGGACAAAGATGTATCCCTAGCGGGGAACATCTAGAAGAGAAACAATCGATCGCTCAGGTTAAGCGAAACGATAATCCTAGATCAACTGGAGAGTCTTTCGTATAGGATCTCGCTGTGGTTGCACAACCCCAGCTAGAGGAAATAAAGGGAATAAGTCCCAAGAATACAAATACGGCGGAAATAAGTTCCCCGAAACCCGCGGGAATAAGTCCCCGGGAAGCCGAACGAATAAGGCCTTCGAAGCCTGAGGGAATAAGTTTTCAGGAAATGACAGAGACATTGAATGTCATAGTCAATGATGGATCAAGTGTAGGCGCTTATACACTTGATCTGACTGCGCCTCCGAAGTTGACTTCGGAGATCACTCAGTTGCCAACGCTCGAACATAAAAGGCTCTAGCGTGATCTGCGTAGTGGCAAAGTCAAGCAGATCTGCGTACTCGTCGCTGACGACGAGTGTGTAGCCGACATAAGGTCAGCAACAATGTTTACTGAGAACGAGAGAGTTCTCAGTAGTTCATCAATGGACGAGAGTGTCCTCGATGAAAAGACACGAGTTGAGCGGTATGACTCCCAATCGTGGGAATCGCTCAAGACAAATCCTCTCTATAAAGATTTGATTGAATTCAAGGATGTATTCCCTGAAACTGTTCCGTGCGAATTACCGAAGGATAAAGGTATTCGACACGAGGTCGAGCTTAAACCAGGCTCGAAGTACTGTGTCATGAAGCAGTGGCCACTGTCTCGTGAACAAGTACTTGCGATCGACAAGTTCTTTGCCGATCGTTTAGCTGCGGGTCATGTGAGGGAATCAACTTCCCCACATATCTCTCCGACCTTCTGTGTGCGAAAAGCAACAGGACGTTGGCGGATAGTGCATGCATTTAACAAGTTGAATGCTGCAACGGTACCGGCTCGGACGCCGATACACAGGAAGGACGTAATCATTGATGGTATGTCAAAGAGTACCATATTTTCTTCCATGGATTTGATGGATGGCTTCTATCAAATCCTTGTGCGAGAACGGGATATACCCTATATCGCAGTGAGCACGCCTAGCGGCATGCTCTGGGAATGGCTAGTAATGCCACAAGGGCTTAGTAATGCCCCTGCCACGTTCAACAGATGTGTATCACATCTGTTGAGACCAGTACGAGAATTCGCGCCGAGCTATTTCGATGACGTAATCATCCATAATCGGGCTATGGATTGAAAGTCGGACGTTGAGATTCAAAGGTACCACGTCCGATAGGTTCTTACAATCATGCGAAAGCATCAATTGTATGCAAACCTCAAGAAGTGTATATTTGCCGCAAGCGAAATACCACTTCTTGGGTGCATCGTTGGTAAGAAGGGTGTACGACCTAATCCAGAAAAGATCAAGGCGATCACCGACTGGCCTGTGCCGGTTGATGTCAAAGGTCTTCGAAAATTCCTTGGGCTAGCGGCGTATTTGCATAAGTATTCACGCAATTACGCCGACATGACTGTGCACCTCTCTCGTTTGTTGAAAAAGAACGAGAGGTAGTTATGGAACGCTGAATGTCAGCGCTCCTTTGATGATGGTATCAACTGGAGCTTGATACAATCCCCAGTCCTAGCAATTTCCGATCAGGACAGGCCATTTCATGTGGTCTGTGATGCCAGCGATTTCGCAATCGGCTGTGCATTAATGCAGTACGATCTTGAAGGCGTTGAACGCGTCGTCTGCTATCAGTCGCGTCAGCTGCAACCAGCTGAGCGGAACTATCCAGTGCATGACAAGGAACTCCTTGCCATGAAGCATGCACTTGCGAAGTTCAGAGTCTATCTATTAGGAGATAGACCCTTCATTGTTTACACTGACCATGCGTCATTACGCACGGCAGTGAACAGCCCGCACCTTTCACAACGAATGGCGCGGTGGTTGTCATTCTTTGCAGAATACAAATTTACGGTCGAGTACAAACCAGGACGACTTAATGTCGTCGCTGATGCACTCGCACGTCGTCCCGACTTTGAAACAGTCGCGAAACCCAACAGTGCGACAGCCACTGTTGCGATTATGGCGTCCACAATACCATCTTCAACGTTGTACGATGATGTGAGGCGGGCATACGCCCAAGATGGTGAGGTAGTGAGGATGTTGACACAACTTTCACAACCATCTCTAGAATCGTTGAAACGATTGTCGCCTGCGTATCGATCTGCATCAGATCGATACACTACTCGTAACGGGTTGCTGTATCATAAAGCCGTTTCTGGTGACACACCACGTGTTGTCATTACAGATGATACTGATCTGCGTTTACGGATCATGTTCGAGTATCACGATGCTCCTATAGGAGGACATCGTGACCGGGAGAAAACACATCTCACGGTGAGTCGAGACTTTTACTGGCCCCGCCAGTATCAGTTTGTGCGAAAGTATGTTCGCGCATGCGAAGTCTGTCAACGAGTGAAGTCAAGTCCTTCACTGCGTGCACCTTTACAGCCTCTACCGGTTCCGGCTGAGTGCTGGGAATCCATCTCAATGGATTTTGTCTTCGGGTTACCCAAAGACGCACGCGGGAATACGGTTATTCTCGTATTTGTTGACAGATTCAGCAAAATGGTACACCTTGTGGCTGTACCAGAGTCAATCACGGCAAGTGGCTGTGCTTGTGTCTTTATTTACACCATCTTCCGACTTCATGGGTTGCCCCGCGAACTCGTATCAGACAGAGATCCACGATTCACTGCTGATTTCTGGCGTTCCGTGTTCAAATCACTCGGAACCCGCTTGAAGATGTCAACATCTGATCATCCAGAGTCAGATGGTCAGACGGAACGTGCCAATCGTGTCCTTGAAGAGATACTTCGAGGATACGTACACTCCTTTAAGAGTTGGAGTGAGTTTTTGCCAATGGTAGAGTTTGCCATTAACAACTCGGTGCATGCGTCCACGACACATACACCGTTTTACGTGAATGGCTTACGCCATCCGCGTGTACCCACCTTACTAGAGTGTAACTCTGGTTTAAGGGGGGAGGGACTCGCGCGAGCAAAAACCGAATTGGTTCACGCTCATCACGCTCTGACGAAGAAGTCATTGCGTTTGATGCCGATATCGATAACATCGATATCGAAGAAGATGATGCCAGTGAGAGTGCGGAAGCCCTCACTGAAGAAGATGATCCCAGTGAGAGTGCGGAAGCCCTCACTGAAGAAAAGGTTGATGTTGCTGCAGTGCGCTCACAGCGCACTGAAGCTAACGAGTCATCAGATGAGTTCATACTGGCTCGTGAAACGGTAGTCCGTTTTGTGCAAGACTCCATCGCCGAAGCGATGGATAAGCAAAAGCAAAACGCTGACAAGAATGGAAGGGCAAACACTCTTTTATTTCATAAAGGTGACTTAGTCCTACTATCTACGGTTAATCTACCAAAGCATGTAGTGACTAACTTGGGTAGCAGAAAACTACTACCCAATTACATCGGTCCTTTTCGTGTATTGCACCGCCTAGGCAATGCATACACCATCGAGTTGCCACGTAAGATGCGAGCGCATCCCACGTTTTACGTTGGTCGGCTTAAGCCGTACCATCAGTACGCTGCTTCTTCCGATGAAGAACGCCCTCGCGCTCAAGCATCTCGCAGAGAGCCTTGTGCTCCCGATGGTGGGCACCGACAAGGGTCTGAAGAGCAGTTATCTCATCCCGAGACCGATCAACAATCCCACGAGCTACCCTTAGCTCGTCACGAAGAGATGTCAAAGCTCTCTCGTTCTCAAGCTGAGCAAAGGCAAACTCAGGTCGATGCTTCAAGGCAGTGTCCGCCAGTTGAAGACGCCTATCCCGCTCATGTTCGAGATCGTCGCGTAACCCTTGCGTTACGCGATCAAAGAAGCTCTCGGGAACACACCGATCCACATGATCGTGTGGAGAGCATCTTTCCTCCTCCTCCACCTCCATTAGAGGACTCTCGCGGTGGCCAGCGCTATCTAGTTGAGCAGCTGTTGAACCACCGCGACGTGAACGGACGTCGGACGAGTTATCTCGTCCGGTGGCGCGGCTATCCCCCGTCCTGGGATTCTTGGGAGCCCCGCTCCCAACTGATGATCGACGTACTGGGTCTGGTTGAGCAGTACGACGCGGCACATCCTGTGCCGCAGAAGGACCGCCGGAGAAAGTCTTCCCGGCACGGTCGTAAAGGGATTTCAAGTTGTCAATCCCTTCTTACATCTCAATAGAGATACGTACGCGCCACCACGGGCTAGTAAGGAGGTAAGCCTCCTTAGGTGCGCGCGCAGAGTTGTTCACACAACATGGGCACGAGTCTCCTCAGGTAAGACAAGGTTATCCACCCTCCTTAGACAGACTATGCAGCTTATAGCGTGCACCTGTCGGGGTTCTTTTTAAACTTATCACGAGCTTTGATGAGTTTAGTGTTCCAAACGTCACGGCCTACAACCTCAAGGTTATAGATGTAAGCGTTCAACGCCTGAAGTAGTGATGGACCATCACGCTTGTGATTCCCACTGTACCATCGATGTCTAAAGAAAGCATCGATGAAGAATTCATGTTCAGCGCGATAGTTTTTCGCGCTGGGGTCAAGGTGATGGATCCTTGACGAATCGAACAACCGTGTTCGATAACGATCACTCGTCGTCGCCGACAAGTGATCCATGACAGATTTAGGAGGCATCCATGCCTTCTTTTCAGGAGCGAGACGCACGACATTGTGATCCCGCTCTTCTTGCGATGTGCCGACAGAAGGACTGGCAACTCGTTGCGAAGTGGTGTCCAGAGGAGAACCGACACCACTATTAGCGCCCGAGTCTCGCGATCTCGAGCGCCTTCGCTTCGGCGATGGTTCATCTGATGAATCAGATGAACCAAAGATGCTGCGACGCAAAGCATTATCCATGCCACGCTTGGCAGGCGGCTTGGATTCGATCGCCGTCGATACGGATCCGTCTTCCGTAATAGGAGAGTATGAGACTCCGAGCTCATACTTTGTGAAGACATGAGTGTCTTCATGACGAGCGTCTGCATCCCCAGGTGATACAGACTGAGACGCTTTAGCAACCGATGACACATCAGTTGCAGCAATTTCTGCTTTGTCGTCTGCACAGAGACGTGCAGACGCGCTCTCAGCGGCCTTGTTCGCGCACCGCATGGACTTGTTAACCATGCGATGAAACTGATGGACTGTGAACTCGGACCAACAAGTGCAAACCCTGTCCCAAATGATTTATGACGAGTATCCATTTAGTCAATCAGTCACTAACGTGAATGATGGTCAAGGGGGATGATGTAACGGGGTGAATCGTTACGTAACAATTTATAAGAAATTGTTAATAGAATATAACTATAAGAGTTATATTCTCAGAATATTGTCATAAGGATAAATATTCTGCAGCACTTACGAGTAGTTCCTAATTGGTAGATATAGGCCGTTATATCAACCAACGAAGACGCGCCACGACAGACGCACGCAATGAGTGGTGAGCAGATAATTGATTTACACATTTGTGTTTAGACATAGTTAGATGAGGATAAACAGTGGTTTATTAACCGACATGAACTATGCTAAATACAGTTCTACTTTTTACTCTAACCAAGTACTCGCTTCTCCTTACCGTCTTCCTCTACACGAACCAGTGTACGTGAAGTTACGAGGCACCGCCTTATTCTGTCGTCAAAATAAGTAACTTGTACTGTCATCAGTACAAGCTTCAGGGTGCCCCGTTACATAGACTGCCTTGTGAACGTTCTAGTACTTATCTGTCGATACGGAATGCTCAAGCGCATGCTGCATCGACCCTTGACGGCGATTTAACTGAATCATGTGTTGGTTAATTCGATTTTTACGCGAGCTTAGCAGCGAGCCTCCTCAGTTACGAAAGCTAACGTATCCTGCCTGTTAAACAGGAGAAGGAAAGTCGCTTACTGGCTATGCTGATATTCGGTAGCAATTGCGGGACTTAATCACTTGAAGATGGCACCAGCCTGTAGCGATCAGGTACGTTTAATGTGTCGTTATCGTCGGGTATCGTATCGTCCATCCGACGACAACACTGGTCTATAAAGCGCTCGGGTATATTCTAGGCGTCAGGAATCAAGCTGTCAGGTTATTAGTCTGCGGTAAGACGCTACTTGTGCACATTCTGGCAGCTTAAGACCGAGTCAAATTCGCACTCACATAGAAAATATATGGACAATCTAGTTCAACTCACCTTCACAGTTCCAATCAGTTTTAGGCTCATCCTTGCAATTGGATTAGAATTCAGTCATCAAAGTTGTCGTCCAAGTAGTTTGGCGGCAGCAAAATAGCAGTGCGCCGGCACTTCGTTTACGTCTTTGACGTACTTAACCACAGTTTGTCCAGGAGGACCAACCCTATTCTTACGAGTGATGCTTGCTCGCAGCTCGAGCTTGGCCGTCTTAACTTGTCTTTTGGATATTGACGAGCTTGATTTCATCGCGCACAAGCAAGTTTTTGGCGAGAACACGAAGACAGCAGTGGTGGATAAGTATAAGCCCGAGTGCTTTCCGTATTCCTTACAGGACGGGCGGCATGCGCGCGTAGCGAATAACTGTATCACTCACATGTCAAAAGGTCGTCTGCTGCTAAGAGCCGTGGCTCCTTGTCGTGGTCGCAACAAATTGAAAAGATGTGCTATACACCGCCTAATTTGGTCCTAAGCGAATAGACAAGACTGTCGAGTTGGAATTTCTGACGAAAAAAAAACGGAGGTGCGCAACACCAGCAAAAGTGGTACTTGAGAGGTGAAGTTGACGACTTTATGCTTGATAACCCGAAACTGTTTGCTGTCTTCACAAGAACAATGCCACTCGCTACAGACGTTGACATCCAACAACTTGCAGCGCTTGTAACGGGGTAGCAAATTACACGATATTGACACCAAATGGTGTCAATAGGGATTTTTTCTAGCCTGACCATATCCTACCAACATTTCAATGTTCCGAGATAAAAAATATTGAAGAAATTTCATTCCCTTTTAGGATAATATTCATGCGCTACTCAAAGATTGGTTGATAAAAGACATATCAACCATAGATCACATCCAATCGCTGCTGGACGCGCGCAATGAGTGGTGAGCAGGTTGTCGTCATACGACGACGTAGTTTAAAATAGTTCGATAAAGATTCAAGTTATTGTGATAGCTTAACTATATTAAATGCAGTTCTAGTTTTACCTTTACTTGACCGAGTCGTTCAAGAAGATTAGCTTCCTCTGCACGTACTAGTGCACGTGAAGTTTCGCGGTACCCCAAACAAAGGGTGCCCCGTTACACTAGATTCGTAGCTCTGTAGACCTCCAATTTCACGATTTAGTCACAGTCTTTTCGGTAGACACGCCACGAAAGTAACTTTAAATCAAGCATCCTTCTAATCCTTTCTACAAGTATCTTTCCGTCCACGTCTTCTTACATGGTTGGGGTCTCATCCAGCAAGCAGAGAGCTTATTATCAGTTTTATTACTGCACCCTAACCAAGTTAAAGCTCATACACAGAGGGGGGGGGAGAGGCATGGCGATCTAATCTCGCTAAAACGAGGAGCGGGAGGTTTCTAGCCCCGAGTGCAAAGCGTTACAACAGCCAGGGCGGCGACTTTGGCTCACAATAAAGACCTTCGTCAAGTACTTACCATCATACAGTGACACCAGGTGTCACTTTTACCATGCGATGTCCGGCGCCAGCTGGATATCGAAATTGTCGTCTGTAATTGTTTATCACACAGCCGCATCACGGCTTTAGATTCGAGGAGATCTATTCTACGATGGATGGGGCTCCCATGCAGCCTCATAATGACGAATACGAACTGTCTTTGCCTAAGCACCTTCGCGAAGGGCGCGGAATGCCCCCTTCTTGCAGATTGCTGGATGTCAGCACCTACGAATATGCGACAGCTATAATGGATGTCAGCACCCGTGAACATGCGACAGCTATAAATCACATCATCGCGAGGTCAATTGTGTTTCAGTATCAAATGCCCTTCCGGGGTAGTAGTTGGCACGAATGCGGTATGCACGTAGCCTCTAAGGTAGCGTTGCAAGTTGTTGGATGTCAACGTCTGTAGCGAGTGGCATTTTTCTTGTGAAGACAGCAAACAGTTTCGGGTTTAATCAAGCATTTAGTCGTCTCCTATACCTATCAATTACCACTTTTGCTGGTGTTGCGCTCCTCCGTTTTTTTTTTCGTCAGAAATTCCAACTCGACAGTCTTGTCTATTCGCTTAGGACCAAATTAGGCGGTGTATAGCACATCTTTTCAATTTGTTGCGACCACGACAAGGAGCCACGGCTCTTAGCAGCAGACGACCTTTTGACATGTGAGTGATACAGTTATTCGCTACGCGCGCATGCCGCCCGTCCTGTAAGGAATACGGAAAGCACTCGGGCTTATACTTATCCACCACTGCTGTCTTCGTGTTCTCGCCAAAAACTTGCTTGTGCGCGATGAAATCAAGCTCGTCAATATCCAAAAGACAAGTTAAGACGGCCAAGCTCGAGCTGCGAGCAAGCATCACTCGTAAGAATAGAGTTGGTCCTCCTGGACAAACTGTGGTTAAGTACGTCAAAGACGTAAACGAAGTGCCGGCGCACTGCTATTTTGCTGCCGCCAAACTACTTGGACGACAACTTTGATGACTGAATTCTAATCCAATTGCAAGGATGAGCCTAAAACTGATTGGAACTGTGAAGGTGAGTTGAACTAGATTGTCCATATATTTTCTATGTGAGTGCGAATTTGACTCGGTCTTAAGCTGCCAGAATGTGCACAAGTAGCGTCTTACCGCAGACTAATAACCTGACAGCTTGATTCCTGACGCCTAGAATATACCCGAGCGCTTTATAGACCAGTGTTGTCGTCGGATGGACGATACGATACCCGACGATAACGACACATTAAACGTACCTGATCGCTACAGGCTGGTGCCATCTTCAAGTGATTAAGTCCCGCAATTGCTACCGAATATCAGCATAGCCAGTAAGCGACTTTCCTTCTCCTGTTTAACAGGCAGGATACGTTAGCTTTCGTAACTGAGGAGGCTCGCTGCTAAGCTCGCGTAAAAATCGAATTAACCAACACATGATTCAGTTAAATCGCCGTCAAGGGTCGATGCAGCATGCGCTTGAGCATTCCGTATCGACAGATAAGTACTAGAACGTTCACAAGGCAGTCTATGTAACGGGGCACCCTGAAGCTTGTACTGATGACAGTACAAGTTACTTATTTTGACGACAGAATAAGGCGGTGCCTCGTAACTTCACGTACACTGGTTCGTGTAGAGGAAGACGGTAAGGAGAAGCGAGTACTTGGTTAGAGTAAAAAGTAGAACTGTATTTAGCATAGTTCATGTCTGTTAATAAACCACTGTTTATCCTCATCTAACTATGTCTAAACACAAATGTGTAAATCAATTATCTGCTCACCACTCATTGCGTGCGTCTGTCGTGGCGCGTCTTCGTTGGTTGATATAATGGCCCATATCTACCAATTAGGAACTACTCGTAAGTGCTGCAGAATATTTATCCTTATGACAATATTCTGAGAATATAACTCTTGTAGTTATTTTCTATTAACAATTTCTTATAAATTGTTATGTAACGGTTCACCCCGTTACACTCTGTGCATGATCATGGCCTTCACTTTCTGTTCCTCTTTGAAGTGGCAGCCTGAACAGATCCCGTTACACAATGTCACGGCAAGCTCACGCAGTTGGGACGACATACTGTCCACAACTTTGCACAACTCGCAGCACGCTTTGCCGCAGGTAGTATGTTCACATCAGTCATCGCAGTCGTTCCAACAACAACTACACGCGGGGAGCACAGATTGAGTTCGATAATTAATATAGATGGCCGTCTCGCCGATTGAAGGAGCATGCCCAAGTCATCAACTAGCACAAAGCCAAAACAAAATGATCACCCGTGTCCAATCTCGACGTCAGCTAGAGATCGTAATTGTGCAAAACGCTACCCCAGTTCGTGAACCAAGTACTCATAAGCTGTTGATAATGCCGTACCTTCAGCCGTCATGAGCAACGACACAACGTCGATCCTCCAAGCGGCAATCCTCTCGTGGACAAGCTCACGCTACAGAGCCGATAGTGTCTGCAATTTACCCGCACCTTGTACACCCGGAATC